AGGCATACACACACACAGACACTCAGTTGGGTGCCCTCCTTGTCAGTCCTAGCGGTCCAGCACCTAGTCGCCCTCCGCCACTACCGCGCCGCCCCTGATTCCAACGGGCTCCTGACAACATCACTCTCCTAATAATTAATATTTACTTCATCCACATTCCAGCAGCTACCAGTCCATAGAGCTTCAGTGGAACTTCCATCACACCATCTCCCTCTCCCTCTCCCTCTCACCCCCTCTCACCGCAAACAGCACCGTCACTTCGTCGTGTGCATCCGCAATCATGGACTGCCCCTGCTGCAGCCGCTGTATCACGGACATGGGCAGAATGCGCTTCAGCATCTCCGTCACCTGCTCGTGACACCAAGGCGGGAGGGGGGGGGAGACGAGGGGGGAGAGGGAGGGAGGCGAGGGGGGAAGAGAAACCAAGCGGGTGGAAATAGAGTTATTTCCCAGAAGAGGATAAATCGGAATTAGGGAGGAGGAATCATACTATGCTATGAAATTCTGACACTGTATTCTTGAGGGAATGCCGCAGTATGTATACGTGGCCTCCCACCCTTTACCCTGCCGTACCTTACGGCTCTCCATCTCCGCCTCAAAAATCTCCCTGCGAGGGGGTCGGGGGGTTGAGTGTGTGTGTGCTAGGGTTTTAGGGTTTTAGGGTTTTAAGCCACTGCCCCCTCTCCCACTACCGCTTCACCGCTTATCGCCGCCGCCGCCTCCCCAACCCAGCCATAGGGCCCACTTATAAGAACCTTGAACATCGCCTTTTATAATGTTTGGTAATTCCTCGACACCGCCTTCTCCAGTAGTTTTGAGGTAACCCCCCAATAAGCGCATGGCTTCCATTTCCCCCTCCTCCCCCCATTGCCGTACCTGTTTCGTACTTGCGCCCTAATCCGGCTGAGTAGCTCCTGGCGATGGAAGGGCTTCTTCACGTAATCCACACTCCCCGCCTGGGCTCAGGGGTGGGGTCAGGGGTGGGGGTTTGAGGGTGGGGTGGGGTGGAGGTATTGGGTTGGGTTGGGTGAAAGAGTGGGACTGGGGCGGGAAAGAACTGGGGGGGGAGGAGGAATGGGTGTGCGGGGGTCCAGGATGTACGGCCCCAGCGGTCGGAGGGAGGGAAGGGGGAAAGAGGGGGAAAAATGGCGGGTTTTATGGCAAGAGGAAACACGCACTGACCCTAAGTGGCTCAGTGGTGCGTCTGTATGTATACATGTTAGGGGAGTCAAGACGCAAACATACCCACCATTTCCCGCCGCGGGCACGTCCCCCACCAGACACACACACACACACACACACACACATACACACACACACACACACACACACACATACACACACATACACACACAGCCTTTCCCATACCTCCCCATTCCCCGAGTAATACTGGGGTCCAGCGGGTTTCCTCCGAAACTACAGTTGATGCGGAATTGTCAGGTAGTACTTCGACAGAATTACACTTCTACCTCCACACCCCCCACCCCACGCCCCACACACCACACTTCTCCACACCCCCGTTATTACAACTTATGCAACCCCCCAATGTCGCCCTAAGAATGTTCCCCAACCTACTCCCTCCCCGGGTTCAGGACATGCTCCCAGCACCCCCGCAAGCGCACACATACATACACACATACACACACACCCCGCATACCCCCACGTCCCCCCACGTCCGCACCTCCAGGCCCTTCATTACGTGCTCCGGATGGCCCTTGGCCGACACCATGATGATGGGAATGGATACGGCAGAGTAACGTCGTCGTATCTCCTGGCATACCTGCGTGTGTGTATGTGCGCGTGTGGAGAGTGAGGGGGGGAGTGAGGGGGTAAGGGGGCGTGTATGTGTATATGTATAGATGTGCGTCAGTGTTGTGTTCCTCCGCCCACTGCGCCCCCCCCCACCTCATATCCACTCATATCCGGCATCATGATATCCAGCAGTATCACGTCCGGCAGGGTGGCGGTCTTCTTCAGGAAGTCCAGAGCCTCAGAGCCCGACATGGCCTGGGGGGGGTGGAGGGGGTAACGGAGGGGGTGGAGGGGGTAAAGAGGGTGAAGGGGGTGGAGGGGGGGGGAGGGGGGGGTGAAGGGGTTGAAGGGGTGGAGGGGGAGGGGGGTTTGAAGGGGTTGAAGGGGGTGGAGGGGGTGGAGGGGGGAAGGGGGAACTGCGATACGGGCAATTGGTAGAATTGTGTGATTCGCTGCGAATGGAGTCCGTGTGTGTGTATGTATGTACGTATGTATATGTGTTTGTATGCGTATGTATGTGCATGTATGTGTTTGTATGTTCATATGTATGTCAAGGAAAACAGCTGCCGACGTCCAGTGTGGAGAGGGGAGGGGCCGCCGGGGGGGTCTTGCGATAACGGCACATCATGTCGCGTCGACCGTCATCGTACACATGTCGTACCTGTTCAACTTTGTACCCCTCAGGCGACAGCAGGTTTTCCACCACCATTTGGTTGATGGGGTCGTCATCCACCGACAGCACCATGCAGCCGCCGTACTTCTCCCTGGGGGTGAGTGGAGGGGGGGAACGGGGATAGGCACAAACACACACATGAACACACGTAGGGGGAACAGCAAAAACCAGAAGGTTGAACAGGGGTACAGGGATTAGAGACTCACATGTACGACAGTGGCGGAAGGTACGGAAAGCGACGAGTCGTATGGGAACACAACAAGGGTGCAAGCATAAGGACTCCAAGCCGCCCTATAGTGGACTGGGTTGGCGTGGTGGGTATGGGTGTGGGTGGTGGGTATGGGTGTGGGTGTGGATGAGATTTCTGCCGGGGCCCCCAAACCCCATTTTCCCAAACACACAAAGGACACAAAGGCCTCTGCTCCCTAAAACCCATCTCGGGACCCTTAAAACCCAGTGTACGACAGCAAATTACCTGTAAAACGGCTTCATGACCTTGAAACCAGTCTTGGTCACCGTAATCAGGTTCTCCATACCTGCCGTACCCGACCCGCCGCCCGCGCCGCCGCCGGCGCTCGTCCGAAGCCTCCGCCGGCTGCCGCTGCCGCCGCCGCCAAGGCCGCTGACCCCCTCTTGGCCGCCGCTATCGCTGCGATCGCCGCCGCCGCCGCCGCCGCCAGCAGCTGTGGCGCTGCTGCTACGGCGCTTGCCACCGCCGCCGCCGCCGCCGCCACCTCCGTCGTCTCCGTCAGAGTCCCCTTCTGATGTGTTCCTGGAGCCCATGACGTGGTTTCGGTGGTAGCCCCCTTCCTCGGACTCCTCAGAAATCCGCCGTAGAGGCTCGTTCAGGTCCCTGCAGTACAGTACGACATGACTCCAATGTTAATATCAATACACACACGTGGGAGAAATCCATGGGGGGGAACGTATGATATATCCGGTGTGAACGGTTGTGTGGCTGTGTGTGTATGTATGTATGTATGTATGTATGTATGTATGTATGTGTGTGTGTTTTGCGCAGATTTGACCCCCATGTGTCACTCTCTTTCCCCCCGTCACACATGAGAGAGACACAACCCTCCTCATCCGGCCATTATGACGGCCTTCGTTTTGAACCATCTCCCCCCGTATCGCCCCCCCCTCTCCCTCTCTCTCTCACACACTCTTTCCCCGGTCCATACAAACCCATCCTGAGCCCCGCATCCTTTTACCCCCTTGCCCGCCCCTTCCCAGCCTCCCAACCCATCTCACAGCGCGTACGGCTCCTTCATTTCGCTGTCGTCCACGCTGGTGAGCACTCCATCCTGACTGATGGGCAACCAGATGGTGAAGGAGGAACCCACACCAACCTGGCGAGTGTACGTGCGTATGTATGTTCGGTGGTGTTGTGCGGGATGCGGGAGGGGGAGGGGGAGGGGATTGGATGGAGGGAATCGTTACAGGATGAAAAGGGTTTTCCTGGGCAGTGCGGCACAAGTAGCGGTTTCGGAGGAATGCGTAACGTAAAAGGGGGGGCCGGGGGCCGGAAGAATGGCACATGTGTTTCGGGTGACTTTGTGAAGAATGTGATATGTGTTTACGGAAGCGTTCGCCAGTGTAAGGCCCTCAGGCAAGATCTGTGACGTAAAACACACACGTACTTTCAGACACACCCAGAAACACGTACATCTACATACACACATACGTACATACGCGCATACACATACACACACACAACACCCGGGACCCACCTCGCTCTCCACGGTGATCTCCCCCCCGTGCGCCTTCACCAGCTCCTTCACGAGGTGCAAACCCAGGCCCGTACCGCCGTACCGCCGTGTGGTGCTCATGTCCGCCTACAGTACGACAGCCAAGTGCGAGAACAAGTGTACGACCGAAATTACCCTAGTAGAACAACACATCTACATGTGGGGGCCCCCTTCCTGGGTATGTGTGTGTGTGTGTGTTTTGGGGGGGGGGGAAAGAGGCCGTGGGAGGGTTTGGGGAGGGGCCAGCAACCGTACGGCGATGCGGATCCAATCCCACACAAAAAAAGGAAGAAGATAATTACAACCGGACGGCCCGAAGATAGTCCGGGGGGCAGAAGGAAGGAAGCCGGTGGGACGTGTGTGTTTCGTGTCACCCCGGCTTTCCTACTCCACCACCTTATGTCGTACCTGCTCAAAGGCCCCAAAAATCTTGGGCACTTTCTCCTTGGGGATGCCCACACCGGTGTCGGACACGGTGACGTACACCTGTACGGCACATCAGTCGAGTTGGTACGATACTGATGGGTAGTGAGTCACCTGGTTCAATTTTTATGGGCTTTCGGCAGATTGTATGTATGATATGTGAAACAGGGGGGTGTATCTTCGCCCGTGGTAGCTACCCTGCGAAACCCTGCCTTCCCCGGTATTTCGGGGCACCCTCATCCAGTCACCCTAGTCCACTTCTCAGTGGATCGCTCAGGTTCCGCACCCACCACCAGCATCCAACGGAATCTGCCGGGTCGACAGCGGCCCAACTCCATTCCTGGTCGGCTCGCAGGTTAACTTTATCCCAGGTCACCACCGTCCATCAACTAGGGGCGCAATACCTTCCACCATCGGAAGGACTTTTGACCCTAGCGGGTATCGATCCCGGGATCTCCCGGGGGCAATGGTCGCGCATTACCAGTAGTGCCAAACCCTAGTAAGTATGTATGTATGTGCGTGTGTTTGCCTGACAGGTTGTTGTTGGCTAGCGTCCTAGTGGTTGGTAGTTGGTACGTTTGTTGATCGATTGTACGACGTTAAATTCAGCAGTGGGAAGGGCTGCACGCGTAAGAGGTGCCGCTCCGTGAAGGGCGCAGACAGGCAGTCGCTGCGTATGTGTGTATGCACTGACTGGGCCACGGGCGCCGTTCTCCTCCCCCCCCACCCTCCCCACACCGCATACCTTGTCTTCACTTACCACGCCAAGCCAATCGCCAAGACACACGTATAAACATACAGTCGCAAAAATCGGCAGTTCCCTCATCGCGGCTCAGATCATACCACTAAAGCATACACACATACACACACATACATACATACATACATACATACATACATACATACATACATACATACATACATACATACATACATACATACATACATACATACATACATACATACATACATACATACATACATACATACATACATACATACATACATACATACATACATACATACATACATATATACACACACTCACACGCGCACCTTAATATTATCCTCCGACACCCCCGCGGTGATCGAAATGACCCCCTGGCGGGTGAACTTGGCGGCATTGCCAACAAGGTTGTACAGAATCTGCAAAATGACATGATGATGACGGAGAACAACACGGCGTACGGCACCATCATAAAGCGGCATCCTTCATCCCGTTTTTTTAACTAAAAGCGGTTATAACAAATAACTATCATGGCAGCATCGGCGGTAAATGGCATCACCCCTTCCCCAGCAGCGCACAGCGACACGTGCAGCTCGCTCCTTCCCCCTGCCCCTCCTCTCCTCCTTCCCCCCTCCCTAACCCCCCTAACTACCCGCCACCACCCACCCTACCCCGCACCCCCACCTGCACAATTCGCCCATTGTCCCCGACAATCTTGGGTACATTGCCCACGTTGTTGACCAGCCGTACACCCTTCCGTACCAACGGTAACGACAAATCCAACACGTCTGTCACCAACCGCTTGATGTCCACCTGAGTCAGGGGGGAAAATGAGGGGATGGGGGGGGAGGGGATTGAAGGGGAGGGGGAGGGGGAGGGGGGAGATAACTAGTGACCCATTAGGAAAGGACAGACGGAAACGGGGGCTCGGCGGGGGTGGGCCCCGGGGGGAGGAGAGAGAATATGTGCAAACTCGCTCCCCCATCTCTTTCCTCTTTTCGCACCTTCTCATGTTTAATGACCAGGGTGCCCTGCTTCATCTTGGCGGCATCCAAAATGTCGTTAATTAGTTGCAGCAGCCGCTTACCAGACAGTTTGACCGTTGAAATGGTCTTAACGGCTTTCTCGGGTAGTTGACCGCAGGCACCCGCCATGAGCGATTCACTGACAGAGGGGGCGGGGCGGGGAAGAGGGGGGTAGGAGGGGGTTGGAGGGGAATGTGTGAGATTGTATGTATGTACATATGTGTATGCGTGTGCTTGTGGCCCGATGATTCCAAATTAGGCAACGTCACAGAAATTCTATCGGCTGTATTGCATAGCGTGTGGGAAAGATCATTATGATGGTTGAAGACGACAGACAAACAGGCAGACCAAAACGTACATGCAAACAGGCAATATGGATCACACACACACACACCCTGTGCTATCCGGGAACGAGGGGCCACTTTGCGACGTTCTGTACGATTGATATGTGTACGAATACCCGTACATACCTTAGGCCGATGATTCCGTTCAGTGGTGTTCGCAGCTCATGACTCATGGCCGACAAAAAGTCGTCCTTGCGCTCAATTGCCTGTTTTGGACACCCAGGGGGAGTACAGGCGGGTGGGTGAGGAAGTTGGATGTGTATGTATGTGCGTATTCATGTGTGTATGTATTATGTGTGTATGTATGTGTGTAACGATGTATGCATCTTTATGTGTCTGTGTGTGTTTCTAGTTAGTAGGGGGGAGTGAAGAGAATGGCATGACGGTGCGATGAACAGACATACCGACATACACCGTGTTCTATGCCCTGCCGTGCGATCCCCCCCCGGGCCAACTCCTCCACCACCCAGGTCCCCTAACCCCACCTGCCCTTCCCTCCCCCCCCCAATCGTACAGTGGACAACTGCTGAATGGTGGCCAGGCGGTTGGCCTCCTCGATGGCGCGAACAGCAAACTCGCGGCGCTGCGCAATCGTAAAAAAATTGGCCTCCATGAGACTCGAACTGTAGACCATCTTGGTAAGCCAGTCCAGCGCCGCCCAAAGCGGCTCCGAAATCTCCAGTGACAGGGCGCCGTCGATAGCGGCGAAGTAGACGAAGGGAAATAGATTCCACGTGGTCTGAGGGAGTGTGCGTGTGCGTGTATGGAGGGTTGGGGAGAGAGGGGGAAGGGGGGAAGTTATGGGAGGGGAAGAGGGGTTTGGGAACGCCGGCAAAATGCAGACAGAGGGGGGGGTTGCGCCCAGGAAAGTACATACAAACATACACACATACATATATATACATATATACACACGGACACACGCCAGGAGCAAGAAACACACACATACATACATTCGTACAGACATACGCACGTACAGTCGCACACTCACGCCAGGAGGTGTGGGGCCCTCGTACTCCTACGTGCACACACACCTACCCATAACGACGCTTCTTACATACGACTTCCCATCGCCCCACCCAACCAACCCACAAACATATATACAGATATACACATATACACACAACATACCACCTACAATTGAGAACAACCGGATAAACTTGATGGCCCTTTTTGAGGTGGGGTCCATGGTCTCATCCACCGCCGATGAAACCATCCGCCACATGTGCACCAAGATGGAGGGGAACGGCACACACGACATGACGTACCAAAACACTGCCGTACAGAGTCGTACGGCAACGCATTTCCATTCCGCGGCACGTGCACACGCCCATGTACATCAATTTTTTGGAGAATAGGAAGGGTTGCGGAGGAGGGGGGAGGGGGGTAGGCGCGGGGGTTAAGTCAGGTTTGGCAGGGATATGGATGTGGGGTGGGGTGGGTAGTAAGACGGCCGAAACACGTACACATGCACGGTGTACGGTGTATGTGACGCCGGGCGATGTAATGGACCAAGACACTTCCGGATGAGACAAATGCAGAAATAAAACCGCATACACACACACCACCCCGCCCAGACCCCACATTTCCGCAGCCTCATGTACACCAAAACCCTGACTGGCAATGTGAGGGAATGGCCAAGAGGGCCCCCTCCCCTTCCCCCCCCCCGCCCGCGCCACACCAACCTCAAACCAACGCAAAATCACTGTGCGTCATTTTATAACCCTGTGCCCTCCTCTCCATCCTCTGGAAGGCCCCCCGCCCCCTACTCGCTCCCCTCGCCTCCCCCTACTCGCCCCCCTCCCCTCCCCTTCCCACCTTTATG